TGCTCCTTTTCGGACTATTCTTTGAAAGATACCTCTGTTTTCCATAATCCCCCACATCTTAAAAAAGAGGTACGGTGCATTAGGCTTATTGTAGCAAACACATGCTGATGTGCATTAGATGTCATCAGCCACTGCTGTCACGGCTCTTTGCTAATTGGAGCAAGCTCAGTCTTGGGCCCAGGAATTGCATTCAGAGGACTGGATGGTGTTGCAGCCCATATAGGGACAGGAAGGGCCCAGGCAGCCTGCCATGGCATCATGGGATGGATTCTTTAGGAATTTGTTAGGGTAGAAGAGCCTGAAGTTGGACTTTATCCCTAGACCTTTCCCCTCAGCTATTGCTGACTGTCCTCGCCCTCCAGCACACTTCTCTCTCCAGTCTTTAAGCTCTCTGTCTATTACCAGGGCTACTCACACCCCTCACCTATGATCGCAGGAGAGGCTGTTTCATCCTTCTTGGACTCTTTTTTTTTTTTTCCTTCTTGGACTCTTATTCATCACAAGCCGGACCTGGGAGGCAGTTACTGCCAGCCTTGGCGCTCAGCCACATGCCTGCCAACCTCCAGTTCCACCAAGAACTTCAACAAACCAGCGTGGGAATGGCCTTGACCCACACTGGGCATCCTCCCAAAATGATCCCCAACACTCATGCCATCCTGTGTCTGAGGAGGATCGAACCCCATGAGTGGCATAAAGTAGTGGGGCGCCTTCCTGCAGGTTTCTCAAGCGGGCTTGTCTTGTCCATGCGTGCTGGAAGTTCCATGACTCTCATGTTGGGATACCTGCTGGCTTGGACTATGAACATCTCCTTTGCTGTAGATGTTTGAGGGGAGTCCAGATGACTCCTGGAAGTGATCAACTGTCAGAGAAGAACCCCGAGACCCCTTAAAATGTGTCACTCAGCTCTTGGGCTTGCAGCCGAGAACCCTGAGTTGCCTGATAGCTCTTGTCTTCGGCAGTGTTTCCCTCCACTCCAAGTCACAACCACTCACGTCTTGTGTTTCATTTCTTTACAGATCAGACACAGGAGTGGAAGATTAAAATAATCTTCTGCTATGTTTTGCCCATTTCTGTTACCGTGTTTCTTTTTTCTGTGATGTGCTACGCCGTGTACAGATACGTCCACGTTGGCAAAGAGAAACGGCCAGGAAATCTGGTGAGTGCTGGGTGTGAGAGCAGTCACGATTGAAACAGGGTATCTTCAACAGGACCTAGGAAATGGTTCTAGGACAGAGGCAGTTTCGTCTGCAGGCGAAGTTGATGAATTACAAAGAAAAACAACAACAATGCTTTCTCACCCTGGATTAGCTCGCCAACAGAAACGAAGATCCTGATGCCTTAGCTCTGATCGAGATTTTGTATGAAATGTGCCTGGATGTTTCCAGGTCCTGAGGCCATGAGATAAAGTCAGTCATGATCCCTGCCCTTCTGTAGGCATCGGCTCATAGGTGACAGCACACTGTGTGAAGGGCTGACAGGGGCGTGCACTAGGAAGTCTGGGGGTGAACAGGAGAACCCCGAGACCCCACAGGAGGCATAGGAGACGTTCCCACGCCAAGGCTTTGGGGACAGAGGTGGGTGGGTGAAAGAGGGTGGCTTCCAGGAGAAACCACACAATCGGCTCAACCGTGAGGTCCCTGAGTAGGAGCAGAGATATGAGACGGGAGCAGGGCAGGGTTGGGCAGGGACCTTATTTTAAGGAACTTGGGCTTTATTCGGTTGGCATGGTAACAATCACTGCAGGATGTTTTAATTGGGAGTCTCATAGCCAGTACTGTGTGTTAGAGCTAAGTTGATAGCGGGGCTGGGATAGTCTTAGGGAGTATCAGCCCCGACGCCAGGGGAGAGATGGGGCATTCTGCTCCTGTACAGAGGGACACTGGCAGACACTCAGAGGGCAGTTCTGCCCGTCTGTTAGGGTCACTAGGAGGCAGCATCGTTGACTCGATGGCAGAGGGATTTTTCAGTCTAGCTGCAATAGCAGCAGTTAGGAGAGTCCGGCACTGGGCTTGGGGAGAGACAACAAGAGTCTGAAAGGGGACAGCCGGGGGTTAGGCTGGAGAAAAAGACAGGAAAGAAACCACGTCATTCACACAGCTGCAAGAAGGAAGACAGGATTAAAGCCAGGGCTTCC